GGGGAAGGGATCGCGCCCAGAGCAAGTTTGGATTTCTTAGCGTTCTCTCTCCATACGCTTCTGCAGATGGACATCCACTAGCCGGCACGCCAAGCGCACGCCAGACAGAAGGCTATGCACTGAGTGCACAAAATGACCACACTGGGTTCATGACGCAGTTACGCACATCTGGTAGTGTCGCAAATTCGCCACAATCATGGATCATTAGCTGACATTTTCACCAACAGAGATATCGCTCGCTTGCACTCCTCTTCTCGGGTTGCCGCCTGGCTGTGGTCGTCCAGCCCGAGAATGCCGCCGATTGAGAAATGTACCTTGCTCAGATCCTTGGCAAACAAATTGAGGTACTTTGTGCCGCCAGATGTCGAACCGTGCACGACCTTCAGCTTCAACACCCCGAAGGTCAGCCAGTTGTCACTGAGCTCGGTGCGCTTGCCGGAGAAGAAACTCAGGACTCCGAGATGCCTCTCGTCCACCCACTTGCCAGTAATGTGCAAGGAGTCGATGTACATGTCCAGGCACGTCGACCCCTCATGCTTGACGAATCCTCTCACGTCGATAAGGTCGTCACCCTGAGTGGAGAAACGCGGGATGTGAAGCAACGTATGGTTGCCTGGTCGCACGATGTCAAACTTGGCCCCCGTAATGGAGGTCATGTGCGGGTCACCCATCGCACTGGCCGAAGTCGAGCTGGAAGTCGGTCCTGGCGTTGGGCTGGGCGATGGGCTAGAAGTCGGCTCGGGCGTTGGGCTGGGCGTTGGGCTAGACGTTGGGCTTGGCGTTGGGCTGAACGTCGGCTGGGGCGTTGGGCTGGGCGTTGGGCTGGGCGTTGGGCTGGTCGTTGGGCTGGGCGTTGGGCTGGACGTCGGCTCGGGCGTTGGGCTGGGCGTTGGGCTGGGCGTTGGGCTGGACGTCGGCTCGGGCGTTGGGCTGGGCGTTGGGCTGGAGGTTGGGCTGGGCGTTGGGCTGGGCGTTGGGCTGGGCGTTGGGCTAGACGTCGGCTCGGGCGTTGGGCTGGGCGTTGGGCTGGGCGTTGGGGGCGTTGGGGCGTTCGGGCGCGGCGTTGGGATGCGGCGTTGGGCTGGGGTTGGGCTAGGCGGCTGGACGTTGGGCTGGCTGGGGCGTTGGGGCTGGGCTTGGGATGGGAGTCGGCTGGGACGTTGGGCTCGGCGTTGGGCGGCGTTGGGCTGGGCGTGGGCTGGGCGTGGGTCAGGCGTTGGCTGGGCTGGGCGTCGGCTCGGGAGTTGGGCTGGGCGTTGGGCTGGGCGTCGGCTCAGGCGTTGGGCTGGGCGTTGGGCTGGGCGTTGGGCTCGGCGTTGGGCTGGGCGTTGGGCTGGGCGTTGGGCTGGGCGTTGGGCTGGGCGTCGGCTCGGGCGTTGGGCTGGGCGTTGGGCTCGACGTCGGCTCGGGCGTTGGGCTGGGCGTTGGGCTGGAGTTGTGGCTGGGCGTTGGGCTGGGCGTGGCTCGGGGCTCGGGCGTTGTCGGCTGGGCGTTGGGGGCGTCGGCTCGGGCGTTGGCTCGCGTCGCCGCTGCTGCGGCGTGCGTTGGGCTGGACGTCGGCTCCCGGGCTCGGGCGTTGGGCTGGGCGTTGGGCTGGGCGTTGGCTGGACGTCGCTGGGCGTTGGGCTGGGCGTTGGGCTGGGCGTTGGGCTGGGCGTTGGCTGGCGTTGGGCGGGCGGGGCGTTGGGCTGGGCGTTGGGCTGGGCGTTGGCTAGACGTCGGCTCGAGCGTTGGGCTGGGGGGCCTGGGCGTTTGGGCGTGGGCAGCGTGGGGCTGGGCGTTGGGCTGGGCGTTGGGCTGGGCGTTGGGCTGGACGTCGGCTCGGGCGTTGGGCTGGGCGTTGGGCTGGGCGTTGGGCTGGGCGTTGGGCTGGACGTCGGCTCGGGCGTCGGGCTGGGCGTTGGACTGGGCGTCGGCTCGGGCGTTGGGCTGGGCGTTGGGCTGGGCGTTGGGCTGGACGTCGGCTCGGGCGTTGGGCTGGGCGTTGGGCTGGGCGTTGGGTTGGGCGTTGGGCTAGACGTCGGCTGGTGCGTTGGGCTGGGCGATGGGCTGGGCGTTGGGCTGGGCGTCGGGCTGGGCGTTGGGCTGGGCGTTGGGCTGGACGTCGGCTCGGGCGTTGGGCTGGGCGTTGGGCTGGGCGTCGACGTCCAGATGTAAAACGCCACTTGGTCCAACTTCTTATACTTGGAGTTGAAGGCTACGTTGACGCACGCGCCGCCACCGTTGACGCAGCGGTGGCCTGAGGGGCCAAAAAGACAATCGACTGTCCCGTGCCCAAACATATAACGGCAGCACGTCTCCCCACCGAGATTCGGGCTTGAGTACAGCAAGTCTATGCCGTGGAACGTGGAACGTAATGTGGCCCAGGTCGAGCAAGACTCGTACGCTGAACTCAAACAAACTTGAGTATTATCCTTGGTAAGGCCAAATGATGCTGATGTGTCGACGTAATTGTCGTTCGACCTCACGTACAGGTAAGAAGCGCAATCGGAGCTCGTGATTTGGTAAACGTGAGTGTAGCCGTCTCGAGCCGACGCCATGGCGTTGATGTCCGAGTCGGAGTACTTCGCATGACTTGAGCCAATCTCCGAACTAGTAATGTTTCCATAAGCTCCGGTCGTGAGGGGGAAGGCATACGAGCTTTCTGGACCATCCTGGATCTGGTATATCTTGGCCCATGTTGTCCCGGTGCTCGCTAACGATTTGGAGACGCTCCTCGAATGCAGAGCGCATGTGCCGCCCAAGCACAGGAACAGCTGCACGCACACCAGTAAGGACGAGCGCGCGCACGTCATTGCGAGCGGGCGCTGAGAGCCAGAACGTCGGCCCCAAGCGCGAACTCGAGGATGTATCGATATATCGGTAAGCGGCTGGTGCTGCGATCCAGAATGGCAATGGACTGAACACCTCGGCCTCAGCGAAAGATACTGATGGGCGTGTTTTCCACCACCACCATAAGTTGGAGGGGGGGTCCTCCTCCTCCTCCTCCTCCTCCTCCTCCTCCTCCTCCTCCTCCTCCTCCCCTCCAACTTATGGTGGTGGTGGTGGTGGAAAACAGGCTCATCAGATACGGCCCTCACTTGAAAAAAGAGGCCCCGACGTCGAGCTGGCAGCCTTGAGGTCGTCCAGGGGGCCGAGAACTCGGGGCATCCAGGACCGTTCTCCCTGGGCAACCGTTTCCACAGCACCACCTTCCCGGAGGACCGTCTCCCCAGAGACTGCTCTCACGGAGCGCTTCCCCAGAGAACCCCCCAAAAAGTGGAGCGCCCACGGGTCCATGAAGAACACTCAATCCCGAATGTTGAGTCTTCTGCGTGCTCCCTAAGGGCCCCAGGGGTCCAAGGCCCCGAATCCCCGGGGGCGCCCCGCGTGCCTCTTGGGGCGCCCCGCGAGACCTTCTCATGGGGCCAGAGGTCACCAAGACGGGCCAAGAGGGTCCCAAGAAGCGCCCAAGGACAAGGACAGTCCAAGAGGGTCCAGAGGCCGCCCCCAGGAGCGCTTCAAGACGCCCGATTCCGGACGGCCCAAGAGGCGCCCAAGACGGCCCAAGAGGGTCCTGAGACGGCCTAAAAGAGCCCCAAAGAGCCCCAAGACGCCCAGGATGGACTCAAGACAACACAAGAGGCTCGTTCCCAACATGCCCCAGGAGGGCCACAAGAGGACCCCCAAGAGGGCCCCAAGAGGCCAGAACCGAAAAAGTCCCCGAAGGTCCTGAAAGGTTTGAGCGTTCTCGCCCGTTCGAGCTTCCAGCGCTCCAAGACGGCCCGGCCCAGAGGGGGGCCCCTCCCCCTCGCCCTTCCCACCTTCCCACTCCCACTCTCCCGCCTCGCCTCCATCCTCCTCCTCCCCTGTATCCGAAGTTGATCAACGTCTCTTCACCTTCCCCATGGACCCTCCGGTATCCCCCATTGCCTCCCCTCTCGTCTCTCTTCCCGCCTCATCCTCCTCCTCCTCCTCCTCGTCATCCTCCTCCTCGTCCTCCTCGTCGTCCTCCTTCTCTTCCTCCTCCTCGTCCTCCTCCTCCTCTTCGTCCTCCTCGTCCTCCTCCTCCTCTTCGTCCTCCCTCCCACTATGGTATGTTCCTTGTCATCGTCTTCTGTTAGAAATAGAGAGAGAGAGAGAGAGAGAGAGAGACAGAGAGAGATATATATAAATAGAGAGAGAGAGAGAGATCTAGGCACATGTGCTTTGCGTTTTTACTCGGAGCGCCGAGGAGGCCTCTTGGGAGTGTCTTGGGAGGCTCCTGCAACCTGTTGAGGGTATCTTGCGCGCTCCCGGGGTTCCCTTGGGGGCCATCTTGGGACGTCGAGGGAAGTCATAGGGGCCATCAGGGCCCCTCTTGGGGCTCCTTGGAGCTGTCTTGGGCCGCCTTGGGTGGGCGGCTCCAGGGCCGTCACTGCGGCCGTCCGGGGCCGTGTGCGGACCCTCTCGGCGGCCCCCTGGGCGCTCTTGGGACGGCTTAGGGGGCCTCTTGTGAAGGGGCCCTGCAAATGGGACACAAATTCGCCGGCCCAACGGGCCAGAGGCGTGCTAAGATCTCCGGTAACTGCTCAACAATATTTCTAGTTCGCGCGCGCGGGGCGGGCCCTGGGGGTCCCCGGACGAAAAGTACCCCGGCAAGGCGCCAGCAAGGTCCCGGCAGACTCCCGGCAAGGTCCCGGCAGACTCCGGGCAGACTCCCGGCAAGGTCCCTTTTCGGAGCCCAGGAGGGCTCCAAACGGTCCACGAGAAGCCCGAGAAGCCCTCCAGACGGTCCAAGAGAGCCGGGAGACGCCGAAATATCACTCCCAAACGCCTGCGATGGCCTCAAGACGGCCCAACAGGCCTTCAAGACGCCCCAAGAGGTCCCTAAGCGGCGCCCCAAGAGGGCTCCCACAAGCAAAAATCGTCCCATTCCCTTAGGAAAACGTGCATTTTTTACATATCCGCCTCTTCGTCTTTCACACCTTTCAAGGCGGTCCAAGAGGCCCCCAAGATCACCCCAAGACGGCCCGAGAGACCCTCAAGACCGCTCAAAGACGGCCCAAGAGCGCTCCAAGAAGGCCCAAGAAACCCTCAAGAACTCTTTTTCGGAGCCCAGGAGGGCTCCAAATCGGTCCAAGAGGGGCCCGAGAAGCCCTCCAGACGGTCCAAGAGAGCGGGAGACGCCGAAATATCACTCCCAAACGCCTACGATGGCCTCAAGACGGCCCAACGGGCCTTCAAGACGCCCCAAGATGTCCCTAAGAGGTCCCTAAGCGGCGTCCCAAGGGGGCTCCCACTAGCAAAAATTGTCCCATTCCCTTAGGAAAGCGTGCATTTTTTACATATCCGCCTCTTCGTCTTTCACACCTTTCAAGGCGGTCAAAGAGGCCCCCAAGATCACCCCAAGACGGCCCGAGAGACCCTCTAGACCGCTCAAAGACGGCCCAAGAGCGCTCCAAGAAGGCCCAAGAAACCCTCAAGAAAGAACTCTTTTTCGGAGCCCAGGAGGGCTCCAAATCGGTCCAAGAGGGGCCCGAGAAGCCCTCCAGACGGTCCAAGAGAGCCGGGAGACGCCGAAATATCACCCCCAAACGCCTACGATGGCCTCAACACGGCCCAATTGGCCTTCAAGACGCCCCAAGAGGTCCCTAAGCGGCGCCCCAAGAGGGCCCCCACAAGCAAAAATCGCTTCATTCCCTTAGGAAAGCGTGCATTTTTTACATATCCGCCTCTTCGTCTTTCACACCTTTCAAGGCGGTCCAAGAGGCCCCCAAGATCACCCCAAGACGGCCCGAGAGACCCTCAAGACCGCTGAAAGACGGCCCAAGAGCGCTCCAAGAAGGCCCAAAAAACCCTCAAGACGGTCCAAGAGTCCCCAAGACGGTCCCATGATTGAGGTCCACAGGGGCAACCTGAACGGAAATTTTGAGCCTCCCGCCCAAACACGCCCCCGAAATGCCCCTACAAGCCCCCAAGTAGCCCCACGAAGCCCCCAAGAGAGCCCCAAGAGGCCCCCAACAGGCCGCAAGAAAGCCCCAAGAGGCCCCCAAGAGACCCCCAGGAAGCTCCCAGGAGGCCCCCAAGAGGCCAGGCAGACCCCCCCAAGAGACCACCAAGAGGGCCCACCCAGAGCCATCCACGAGGCCTCCCAAAGTTCCCAAGAAGCTCCCACGAAGCTTCCAAAGGGAAACCCCCCAAGACCCCGCGATGGCACAATACGGGCCGGCGGAATGAGCGAACCGATTCAATAATAGATTATCACTACTAACTTATTGACGGAATGGAACCTCAACAATCATTATTACTAAACGTTACTCCACCTACTACTACTACTACTACTACTACTACTACTACTACTACTACTACTACTACTACTACTACTACTACTACTACTACTACTACTACTACTACTACTACTACTACTACTACTACTACTACTACTACTACTACTACTTACTACTACTACTACTACTACTACTACTACTACTACTACTACTACTACTACTACTACTACTACTACTACTACTACTACTACTACTACTACTACTACTACTACTACTACTACGACTACTACTACTACTACTACTACTACTACTACTACTACTACTACTACTACTACTACTACTACTACTACTACTACTACTACTACTACTACTACTACTACTACTACTACTACTACTACTACTACGACTACTACTACTACTACTACTACTACTACTACTACCACTACTACTACTACTACTACTACTACTACTACTACTACTACTACTACCACTACTACTACTACTACTACTACTACTACTACTGGCGGTCTCGTGCACCACATCACCACGGCTCAACCACCTAGGGAAGAGCGTCCTTGTGGCCGCCTCATTGCCAATATGTAGCGCGCACCTCTTCTGGGTGAAAGGGCGGGTCTGACATGCTTGCAACGTCAGGCGCTCGCACCGTGGGCAGTTGTGCTAACAGCCCAGACTGAAGCGCCAGCAACGGCACAGCAGCACACGGGGCGACCCCAGCACCGCCACCCAGGCCGACTAGCGCGGGAAGACGCGAGGCAAGGCCTGGATGGCAAGCCAAGGGCGGGTCTGACGTGCATGCAGCAGCTGGCGCCTGGCCGAGGGCAGCTGGCCCCTACAGCAAAAAGTAAGGCGCAGGCGGCAGCGTAGCAGCACACGGGGCGACCCCAGTACCGCCACCCAAGCCTACAAGCGCAAGAAGGCGCGAGACGAAGCCAGGATGGCAGGCCAAAATGGCCAGGCGCCCGACGGCGACGCTGCAGTGCACGGGGCTGCCCCAGCACCGCCAGCGAGGCCAACGAGCGCAAGTGAACGTGAGGAGGCCGAGATGGCAAGCCAGTTGGCGAGCCAAGGTGGCTGGGTGCACAGGTAGTCTTGCGCCTAGCCTCGGCAAAGGCTACAGGCGCCGCCGCGCGAGGGGGGGCGCCGCTATGGGCCCGCCGCCCTACAGAAAGCAGCAAGTGGACAATTTAGCATGGACTCACGCGGCCTGCCAAGGCCCTGGAACCTGCTGGGCATTATCCCTCAGGCCTGCTGGCCTGTTCCCTGCGCGATGGCAGCAAAGACCTGCGACGGCAGCGCCCGCGCCTCCCCGCCGAGGTCGCCACTGCCCCCCGCCTGCCCTGAGGGCCCGAAGATCTGGCGCTCGAGGTCTTCACCGAGGGCCACGTTCAGGGCTGCAGCGCTTGGGGCCTGCTGCGGTGGCACGTCCGTCTGCGGTGGCGGGTGCGTCGGCGGCGGCGGCGCATCAGGGGGCGCCGTCGGCGGCGGCGGCGGGGGGCCCATGATGGCCGCGGTCTCTGGCGGGACTC